AGGCACTGAGAGCTGCAAGTGCAACTGCTCACTTCATTAAAAAGGTGGCAATTCTGTGGGTGGCAAAATCAAACAAAGTGGGAGTGTTAGAGCCATGATCTCCCATGCTTTCTCAAGCACTGCAGAGCTAAGATATCACCTCTCACTTCAACATTTGACAGATTTTATTTTATAAATCAGGCACCTCAAAAGCTTGAATTTTATTTTAGTACCTCTGGTAAAGCCTCCCTCCTGGTAATAATGTTCTTCTTTCTGCTTTATAAACCAGCAGAAAATCCATATGTTTCATGTTAATTCTGCTGAAAACACCTTGAATCAAATATCCTTTTAGAAATTTTGTGTGTGGTTACACATTTCCAGCCTTAGAAATTCTTATTTTGGAGTCCTGCATCAAAGGGCAGGTTTAAATCTTGGCTTAAAAAAAGATATGCTCTGCTGGAGGTCTAAATAGTGGACTCTTTTTCCTACAAAGCAAGTGCAAACCAGTTTTCTAGTTTAATTGTTATTCTGATCCCTTCCCACTGCTTGCTTTTCACTGTTACAAATAACTGCCTTTTATTAGAAAGCAACAACAAAAAAATTAGGTTTAACTCTGTCCCCCACTGTGGCCTTGAAACTTTGTGGCCTTTCTCCTGACACCCATACACATGACAATGTTCAAACAATTCTTAATCTTTCTTAGGACAGGAATCAAACTCCTGAATAAACCAGAATTATTTCTGGTGGAAGACTTTTTCCTAAATTGCATTTATGCAACTTGTAATTACATTTCACATGAAGTACCAGGCAGGATTGTGGGAAATAGGATAGCACCTACTGAAGGTACCTATTTCCCACAGAAGCCATCAGGGCAGGTTTATTAGCCCATCGTGGTTGTAAATAATGAATTCAATTCAATATTTGGGGTTACCTGGGGTTTAAATTGGTACTGATCTTAGTCTAATGTTTCCAATTTCAGGAATTGAAACCCATTACTATCTGCCTTTGCCAGCATGCAAAATGTTAATCTTGATAGATTACATTAATCTTTATAGAGAGCGCTTTTTGTTCCACTTATATTTCAGGATCTTAACTCCTCAACATAAGGATGCTTTAGCTCTTTATATTGAGAACACTGCACATTTATTTTAATTGGATAACTGAGTTTTTCTGCTTACTGAGCTGTCTGCCTGACATTTGCGAAATGTAGCTTTTTTTTCCCCTCAACATAACCTAGCTGTTCATTTTTATAAGGCCTGTCATCCAAAATGCAGAACCTAATCCTTAATTAGTTGTCATATTTGTTTAGATGTTATACATCATCCATTGGACTGAACTGTTTGGTTTACTGTCCTTTCCTAATGTCCATTAAATGATTATTTTTGCATTCACTTATGTTTTATTTAACAGTTTTCCTACGTCCTGAACTCCTGACTTACAGAACTTTAGCTAAGGAATGGAATCATTAAATGGGCCAGGCTGCCCAGGCAGTGCTCGGGTAAATCACAGCTGACAGAGCCAACCCAGCCCTGCCAGGAGGGCTGAGCAGGAGCCTGGAGTGCTCTACAGTACCTTAACAACAAGCTTTTCTCCAGTTTGGATTTGCAACTGTAAATCTCTGCTGGAATCAGCAACTACAACGAGCCAGCCTGTCTCAAGGGAAAGAGAAGGGACACTTCACTGTCATCCCCTTTTACCAAGAAATAGAGACATGGAGGCATGGTTTCTTTGCTTGATGTGAAACAGGGACTGGAATCCAGGGCAGAGTTCCAAGCAAGAGACTATTGTAGAAGTGTTTCTCAGTGATTAATTATTTAAATAAAATGGAAGGTCTTTAACAGAAGAACTGACAACAACTTAACCCAATATCCACAGGGCTGCTACATATGGAAAAAAATTCCTGTATTGAGTAGAGCCAAAAGAAGGTTTTTTAAAGCAATCTCCCACATACATTTGTGAGTGCTATGAACATGATTTCAGTGGGCATGGCAATCACCTCCACCTTCCCTCCTACCCAAAACTCATTCTTTGTACTCCTACCTAACCAGGCACCGCGAAACACATAAACCAAGGTCACCTTCCTTGAGTGCCATGGTAGGACTTTGTGTAGGAATCTGATAAACAGCTGAGCAGGAGCTCCAGGCCCTGAATGCTGCCTGCTTGGACACCTAAAATGACACTGATGTTTCCGGGGCCTTCCATGGATATAATTCAAGTGCCTACTCTTCATTACTGAGCAGTCTAGGTGGGAGCTGTACCCCAGCCAGCTGCAGCAAGGCAGTCACATCATTGTTACCACTACACTGCCATTGTATTAGATTCATCCTTTGTATCCTTGTGGATACAGGAAATGTACCCGCAGACTTAAAAACAAACCAGCGTGAAATAAAAACCCTTGTTTTCCAAATAAGAAAATAAGGATCTAGAATATTTTTAGTATTTTTGCTCTCCATGTTTATCTCAGTGTCATCTCATGAAGAGAAAAGTTCGAGTTGAAGGTATACTGGCATATACTGCCCATACCTTTTCTGATCCTAGTCTGTGTCTATTTTGCTTTTTGTGAGGTGCTGTGAGACAATTATTGGTATGCAGAGCACTAGGGAAGTGCTGGAGAGGCATAAAAGCTGCCTGGAAAGTCTGGAAAGACTTGGCATAAAGCTCATGTTATAGTGAGAGGTGAAGCATATGCCCTTTAGGTATAAATGAAGCATCAAGATAAACTTTTATAATACTGGAAAAATGACTGGTTTTGATGACACTTTCATAAATTCTTCAAAGACCTCCCAAAATCATTGTCTCTCTTCTGATCTCACCTCCCACTCAAATCTTCTCTTCCCACTGAAACAAGGTTGCTTTTTATTTTTTTTTTTCTTCTTTTTCCCTCTCTCCCTTACACCTACCAAAAGGATGATATTTCAGCTCTACTTTGGGGAGGAAATGACTTGCACAGCCTTTTTTCCTCACGCATCTGTACTGTAAAACTGAAAAAATGTGGCAAGAGGAACATGTCAAACTTGCAAAAAAATTACTTGAGGCAAGAAACAGCAATACGGCATGACAGCGACTGAAACAAGAAAGCTAAAGAAAATTAAATTCTAGTTAAAAAAAGAACCTTAAATTTTTCCCCATATTGGAAGTTAATGAACAACCTGGATGCCCTTAAAAGATGACCATGGGCAGAGTAGTACAGAATATAGTATACAGGGAGATTACTAAGATTTTCTATAAAGACTCAGTTTAAATTTTGCAAGGAACTAAAGCTATATTAGAGCTTAAATAATTGGGAAAAAATACTCTAAAAAGCTTACTGCCTTTTCCTTTTGTCTTTTGCTTATTTTCTGGCTTATTCTCTGGCCAACTGTTCAATAAATAAAAAGTTTTTATTAATTTAGCATACGTTGGCTACTTGGCCAAGAAAGGCACTACTGCATTAAATCATAAGCAATGATACCAGACAACAGCAGATGAATCGAACCACACGAAAATTATGTGGAATTTCATGTTCTCCATGTGCGTCTGTCTGTCCCACTTGTATTTGTCTGTTCACATGCTTCTCACCTGCCTTTGGTTCAAATCTTACCCAGTATTACCACCTTGGTCATTTCATCCAGCCACCAAAGGAAGCACTGCCAATATATCCATCGTGCACATCACACAGGAGAGTGCACTTGGACATACAGTGCTTCTGTTTCATATAAAGATATAAATGAATCCCACCAGTCCTGGCAAACATCAGGGTTCCTTCTCTTTAGCTTCCCAGAAGGATCCAACGACTTGTTAGAGTAAAACTCACTGCTAAACTGCAAAGTGAGCAATGTTGAATCCCTTATCTTCCTGTCTTCTCCTCCTCTGCTAAATTACAGTATAACAGTAACTGAGGGAGAAGAGTCACATCATTCTGTTGGCCTGCACGTGACATGGCTGAGGCACATTACACTCCTCAGCCTCATCATGACCTATTGGACTGACAGGCAAATCTTAGACCTACAGCATGAAGTCATCTTACCTGTGGTTTGGGCAACAAACTTGGGAGTGACAACAAGGAGCCTTCTTTGCTTTCTGCCCTGTACCTGACACGCATAGAAATAGAAGCTGTCCATGGAAGTGACAGCTAAATGGAAGCCTAACTGGCACTGGGAAGTCTGGAAAATGCCTTTTTTTTCTTCCTACGAACAAAACCCAATCCATGTATCATGCAGTGTTGCCTGAAAAATACAGCTAGTATTGGTGTAACCTGGCTTTTTTTGGAAACACAGGATCAGAGAATATGCTGAATTGGAAGGGACCCACAAGGATCATCGAGTCCAACCCTTAGTCCTGCACAGGACCATCCCCAAGAGTCACTGAGAGTGCCTGAGAGTATCATCCAAATGCTCCCTGAGCTCTGGCAGCCTTGGTGCTGTGACCACTGCCCTGGGGAGCCTGTTCAGTGCCCAACCACCCTCTGAGGGAAGAACCTCTCTCTAACACCCAACCCAACCCCCCCTGACACAATTTCAGGCCATTCCCTTGGGTTCTGTCACCACAGAAGAGAGATCAGTGCCAGCCCCTCCTCTCCCCCTCCCAAGGAAGTTGTATTTTCCACGCACAAGCCCCGGTTCTTCCTCACGTATCGTGCGGTGTTGCCTGAAAAACACAGCTGGGACTGGTGTCCCTTTGCCTTTTTGGGAAGCAAACCTTCCTTCCTCCCAGTCCCATCCTGGATCTCATTGCTCTGGGCTGTGGCAGCAGCAGCCAGGTCTGACCGTGCTGGTGAGGGTGTTGTCCCTGCCGTGCACACACACACACACACACACACACACACACACACACACACGGACAGACACACGGACAGCAGCCCAGGCTGGAATATCAGGCAGGAACCACCTCCCTCGGGCTCCCTGGCACCGCTGCCAGGCGAGATGAACACCATGCCCCCCGCCTGTGGGCATTTCGTGTGCGGTACCGACGGCGCGGCTGCGGGTGCAGCTCTGGGACCAACACGGGGAGGAGGGAAAGCAAAATGACTTTGAACACCGACATGTTTTTACCTTTTCAGACTAAGCTTTTATTTTGATATTACAAACCATTTTTCTTTATTCACAAATCACGGTTGTGATATAAACACTAATTTCTAAAGACAGATATACACATTTTCTGGGTTTGTAGGGGTTTTCTTTTTAAATCTGTTTAGAAGTCACTATATTCCACATATGGTAGTAATAATTTTTTTCATAAGTCATATTATCAGTAGTTATTTATATAAGTGAAAACATTCCCAATATATATTGTAAAAAAATTTCAAATGCTTTTCTTACATAACTATTTCAGACATACATTTTAAAATGACTACTAGGAGTACTGTAGGAGCTTCATAAACAAAATATTTTCTAATATGGGCTGCACCCTCAACCTTTCAAGATAATTTTAATAGACTAAAACGCCATATAATCATTTGGAGAGTGGGAGCTGTAAAGCCATCTCAGGAAAATTAAAATTGCAAATAAATTCTGTTATTCTCCACGTTAGACATTTTGTGTGTGCAATTCCAAAAAAGATGTATCATCCACACTTTGAATTGGAAGCCTAACATTTGGTAAACATTTTTCAAGTCGCTTTTATCGTGGTGTTTATATGAAATTTACTTTTTTTTTTTCTTTTAATAGGAGGCTTGTTTTGCATATCTTATATAATAAATGTGAGGACTGAACTCTTAATAAATTTCAGTTCATTCCCTCACCAGTATAAATATATGTACTGCCCCATTTTTCATCGATTAATATAGTCTCTTTCTCTCTCTGTTTCAATTTTTAAAGATAATTTATTTCTCATCCTTAGATATAAATGCTACAGAAACTTTGTTTTCAAATCTTGTGAAACTTTATTGATGGTTATTGTTCAACTGATCATACTGCATGCACATACGATGACAAAGAGAAAGCCTGATCACAAACACTTTTTTTAAAGCAGAGTTGTTATAGCAAGTTGGCAGGTTCACAGCGGTGAGTTGATAATTTACTAAGGTGCTTGCCAGTAGGCTCGCACGTTACACATGAGGATATAACTATCTGCAGCGGAACCGCGGCGAGACGGTTCCCTGCTTTATTTATTTAAATACAAAACCAAGAAGACCCGTGACAAACACCCCAAACTTAGGTTAACTTGTAAACAGGACAACATGGAAAGAGTCCAAACATATGCACAGACAAACTGCAATTTTTCAACTACGCTTTGACGCCGCCTCCCGGGCACCTCCTGGGCCGCGCCGGCCGCACCCGGACCGGCGGCTTTCCCCAGGCAGCGCCCGGGCGGGAGAAGGTCCTTCTTTTGTCCCGGTTGCCAAGTTGTCTTGGGCCCAATATTGAGCAAAATTGGCCTTGGTTTGGAAATCAAACGGGGGCAAGTTTTTGTCATGCCTTGAAAAATTGCAGATTGTTTACACGACACAGTCATGTTTTCAAAAAGTACCAAGCTGATGAAAATACCATGATTATCTCTACTCAATGATTGCAATACTTGTAAAATGCTTATATAAATCTGAATATGATTATCATATAATTCCATAAAAAT